TTTCCCCTAATTTTGTATTAAGAAAATTTTCAAACACTCCAAAAAGTTGAAAGAATGATATAATGAACACACATATCCTGCACTTAGATCCTGCAATTATTAACATTCTGTCATTAATGTTGCCTTATCTCTAGATAGACAGAAACACGCTCACACAAACACACACACACACACACACACATTTAAAAGTAAGCTGCAGTCATCAGGACACCTTGGCTCTAAAACACTTTCACATTCATCGCCTAAGAATAAGAACATTCTCCTATTAATCACACCACCATGATCACACATAAGAAAATTAACAGTAATTCCATAATAATCATCTAATTTCCACTCCATTTTAAATTTTGCCCGTGTCCCAAGAACATCATTTAGATGCTTTTTTGAACCAGTACTCAGTCGAGGTTCACGAATTGCATTTGGTGGTCATTTTGCATTAGACTTTAATCTAGAATAGCCCCCCACCACACACACGGTTTTTAAGAAGCTATAGACTCGACTTTTAAGACAGTATTTCTCAAAATGTGGTCTAAGTACCAATCTGCTTCGGCATCACCTGGGAAGTTTATTCAAGCAGATTCCGGGCCCTTTCTCAGGTTTACTGAATCAGAACGTCAGGTAAGTCCTGGTCATACTCAAATTTGAGAACAATTGCACTGAGACCTGTGAGAAATGGTCTGTAATAATTGTCTGTTGCATGTCAAGACAGTGGCTAATAAATGCACCTGGTTGTTCAAGCTGAGGAGGTCTGATTCCATGGAACGAGCTGCTCATTTTTCTTTTCTTCATCTTTTCACTTGTCTTCTGATTTAAGGCTTGAATCATAAAATACTCCAACTAAAACATGAATCAAATTTTGATTAGAGTTCCAACAAAATTATACATCTAACATGATAATTTGCACCCTGTATCACACTTGTCAAACATTTTAAATGTCAGTACCATGTATATGTATGTATTAGCAAACACCTGTAAACAATTTTTTTAATAAAAAAATGTATCTAGTGGAAGAGATTGGGCCTTGTCTGCACATAAATAAACAATCCATTCAAGAATAAATTGTTTATTCTCTGTTTTTAGAGATGGGGTCTCACTATTTTGCCCAAGCTGAACTCAAACTCCTGGGCTCAAGCGATCCTCTCACCTCAGCCTCTGGGTAGCTGGGACTACAGACACATGTCACCACACAGGGCTATTCTCTTGAATAATCAAAAAAGTCAAGCACTCCAACTGTGTGGCTGTCAGTAATTTTCTCAGTGGGTAACCACCCAACCATTGCCGTTAATAGTAGTGAAATTCAAAGCAGCAACACATCTGGTTCCATGTCTATAAATGTTCCTATCAGCTAGGAAACTTCACTTTTTTCTCCTGAAATCTGTCCTTTACAAATTAAAAATCTCATCCACAAGCACTTACATAGCTCCAGGTCTGTGCCCTCCCTTGCAAGGCCCGGGGCAAAAGTACAAATGGAGGTCCACCCACCATATACCTAAATATTTAAATGCTGTAAATCAAGAAAACAAACTGTTATGTAAAAGATATTCTATACTCCTGCTTTGACAAACACATCATCATAAAAGGCCAGCAGGCCAGATTTAGATTTAAATTCTCAGACTCCTCAGAGGTTCATGCAGTACAAGGAGAGCTGGTCCCTAACTCCTGCCCCAAGACCACCCTCCCTTTTCTCCCCGTGTTCCATTCCATGCTTGGAGGAGCTCTGTGCACACAAGTAGATATCTAAGCTCTGTCCACTTTCCCCTCTCCCATTCCTCATAAATAGTCTCCCTAGCCACCTCTCAGGCCTAGGGGTGCACACACCAGCAATGTGGTCCACTCCCAGGAGGACAGACCCAGGAAAGTGGCCTGCACAGGCCCAAGAAACAGACTGAGGACCAGTGGTTAGAGAACTCTGGTATTCCAGGTTTAGAAGCATAGTCATAACACTGTCCAATAAAAATTTCTGTGTTGATAGAAATGTTCTGTATTATCTGCATTATCCAATACAGTAGCCACTAGCCAGATAAAGCTCTAGAGAACCTGAAATGTGGCTAGCATGCTTGAGGAACTGATTTTTATTTTATTTCAATTAATTTAAATATAAATAGCCACATGTGGCTAGTGGTTCCATATTGGACGGTACACGTCTAGAAGGGGGATACCAGCTCCAGGTGGGCACATCCCTTGGCTCTGTTGACTTGTGTGTGCCCTGTGGGGAGGGGTGCAACTAGAGGAGGGTCAAATGGGGGTCTCTAAAGCTCAGGGCAGGTGCCCCTCTTGCCCAGGGATGTAGGTCGTACTGCACAGCCCTTCATCCCTGACTCTTTTTTTTTTTTTTTTTTTTTTTTGAGACAGAGTCTTACTCTGGTGCCCGGGCTAGAGTGCCGTGGCGTCATCCTAGCTCACAGCAACCTCAAACTCCTGGGCTCAAGCGATCCTACTGCCTCAGCCTCCCGAGTAGCTGGGACTACAGACATGTGTCACCATGCCCAGCTAACTTTTTCTATTTATTTTTAGTTGTCCGATCAATTTCTTTCTATTTTTAGTAGAGACGGGGTCTCGCTCTTGCTCAGGCTGGTTTCAAACTCCTGAGCTCAAACAATCCGCCCGCCTCGGCCTCCCAGAGAGCTAGGATTACAGGCGTGAGCCACCGCACCCGGCCCATCCCTGACTCTTAAACACAAAATTTTAAATGCTCCTTTCATTCTGACATTATCATCTCTATCCATGTTCTTGCAAATGCCATTATTTCTTACACTCAAGATCCCACTGTACTTTACTAAATAGTAATACATCTAAAGAGATCATCCTAATCCTACTTCCATATTCTCATCAAGTCCTGAGTTAAGGAAAAAAGAAACTGCCGTGTCTTTCTCCCAACCTTGATCACAACTTCAATCCTCATCGTGCCTCTAACCCTCACTGCATATTAGGTGTTAGAGAGAAAGAGAAACAAGCAGTGGAAAGACTAGAAAGACAGAAGAGAAAGTGGGAGTCGGAGGGTGGAGGAATGACCCTGAGGATTTCAGGTTCAGGATCCTGGAATGTGGAACAAGGAGACTTAAGGCTCCCAAGGGAACCAGCCTCCTCTTCAACAAATGAAACCAAATCCAACCAATGAAACTTCTCCACAAATGAAACCAAACCATCTTTTTTCTCTCAACTCCCTAGGTATTTCAGGGAAATGCATCACTCTTGACCAAATTAAATTTTTTTTTAAGCCACCACAATATAATTTGCTAGGGTTAGATTTCACCTATCTTTCCACCCATGGCTTATCACTATAAACAAATATGACAAATGTTTTCATATGTCAAATATGACAGTCATTGATAGTATCAATATTGTAAGTAAATCTTCCTTAATGCTATAATATTAATGTTTATATTACTAGGTGAAAATAGCCATTTGTATTTGTATTTGATAGAAATTAGTACCATTTATATTTGGTCTTTATTTTACCCAGTTTAGTTAACTCCAGAACAAATAAAATTTCTGTAGTCATCTGTGGAAACCTCAACATTTCAACATGAATGTCCATGATGACCTTATGGCGTACTGGAAACAGTACTTCATGAAAAGCTAGGGAACTGATGGAGGATGCCAAAGTCCTCCTGCTTAGGGTAGGGTTTTCTTTGGTTTTAACCTCTCATCATTGTTCATCAGATTTGTTTATTGAGAGGATTCACTTCTTGGAGGGTTGGAAAGATAGTTCCTAAGTCAGTAAATTCTGAAATGATACAAACCCACAGCATTCTCCAATGACCCTACAGTCCTAATATTATAAGGCAGGTGCTGTGTGTTAAGATGAGCCTCAAAGTGACCACAGGATCCAATAAATGCCACTGCAGTCGAGCGTGCAAACCCCGGATCCCCACATATCCAACAAGAAGCTATTTGTATAAGTAGTTCCTCTGACTACAGTTGAGTTATGACAAGGTTAGGAGGATATAAAACCTTGCCAAAGCACACATAGAGGAAGAAAAATTATTCTTTTCAACTAGTAGATGGAAAGAACCAGGGCCCACTGGTTTAGGCTGCCAGGCTTGTTCAGCTGTATAAAGATTGCTATTAAAACTGACGTCACAGGTTTGGGGAAGTAAACATGCTTTTGCTATGTATAACAAAGACCAGTCAAGTGTCACCAAATGAAAAGTTCTAAAATATCATATTAGACAATAGAAAATATTTCATTTAGAGGAAAAAAAAACCTATAATTTTATTCCAATAAAACCTTTGCTACTTACTACTCTCATTTTATTTCTCAAGGTTAAGACTTCTCATGCTTTTAAAACTGAAGTTCTAATTGATGTTCTAGAAAATAACTAAAGCCTGAAAAATGACTTTACACATAACAGGAATTTCCACTTACCACTCCTCCAAAATATTTCCCTATGTAGAAGTCATCAAGGCTATGCAGTTCAAGGTAGGTAGCTCCTAATTCTTTAGCAAGTTGGATCCCTTCGGTTGTACTAACACAGCTCCCTCTATCTGAGGTACATAGTGGGCACGTACAAGGTAATTCTTCTGAGAAAACAAATTTGAAAACAAAGAGCTTTGAAATTAAACAAAAAAAAAAATGTAGACAATCTGAACATTAAATAACAAAGAGCTCATACCAGAACCACAGTACAAGAGCATTCAGTACATCCACTATCCACTAGACTCTGAATAATAAGTGTCAATAAAAATACAAAGGTCCCTAAATAAACAAGCATGAGCTGCAAGAAGAATAAATACTATTTTACAAAACAGAAGAATTGAAAAATAGGTGAATGAATATTTTCAAGGCTAGTATACAAATTAGACCAATCAGCCAGTAATGGTGGGCCTGTCTCTTTCTACACAACCTTGACATCCAGAATATCAATATCTCTAGGCAGGTAGAAAAAATTACAAATTTAACAACTTGCTTGCCACAGAAAGCATTGAAAACAGTGGACTGGCACTTTTTCTGCGGTAAACTTGAAATATATTTACAAAGTTTGAATAAACCTTATAGTTTCATTTTAATAAAACCCTCAATTTGACCTGATTTTCAAGGGTTCAAAATTGTCACTCCCTTTGTAAATTTCATAGACGTGTATTCTTATTAATGCATACATTTCAATCATTAGACTCTAACGCATTCAACTTCAGAGACCAAATTCACTCTTTATTTTTTCTTTAAAATTAAAAAATTTAAAACTGAAGGAAAAGTATTTACTCAAAATATACAACTATTATGTACCCATAATAATTAAAAAATTTTAAAAAGTATTTACTCAAAAAGTGAAATGTCCCAAGATTCATGGTTGCACCATGTACAGACCTACAGCTGGGAAGGTGGCAGATCAACCTATCTACAAGGACACTTCCTTGTAAGGCTAAAAGTATGTGCTCCACTCCATATTTGTCAGCAGCTTTGTTTTGCTTCACCATCACATCACATGTGTCACTGTTCAAAAGGCTGCCAGGTCACCAGGTCAGAAGAGGGTAAATTTATTTTCAGAAATGCATGTTGTTGTAGGCTGGCATCCCTGGGAAGCAGACTCTGAGATGGAGACTGGTGTACTGGAGGTTAATCAGGGGTGAGCTTGGGAACAACTTTTCTCAGGCGTGAGGGATGCAGCACTGGGCAGAGGAAAATTTAACTGCAATGCAGTTGGCAACATAGACCACAGCTGACCCTACATAGGGCTTGGGAGCTTAGACGGCCTTTTAAAGTTGTTCCACATTTGGGGAAAGGAGGTTTTATATCTTAACCCTAAACTGACCAGTAATTAGACAAGGGCTGCAACTGTGGAGGGGGCACCACTTTGGCAAGACAGCTTCCATCAGCAGAGAGGAAAGCCTGGACAGGGACTCCACTGTGCGCCATCAGCAGCCAACACGCTCAGTAACTGAGGAAGTACAGTGGCCCTGAAAGGGCATTTCAGTGACTCTCGAACTCATGCACAGCAAATTTCCTACCAATGAAGATAGAGCACATGTATGTACATAGGGGTATATACTAAGGATATTTAGTGTACATGCATACTACATATGTAAAAATGCATGCATGCACAGATACACATGACTTAGGTAATTTTAGCTTAATTGAAAGCATTTTGAGCTCAGAGACCACATATTCACATCCTCATTTTACAGAAGAGGAAATTGAGGCTATGAGAGGTTATGTGACTTGTCCACATCTCCTTGTGAGTTAAAGACAAAGAAACAATAATAAAACTATTGCTTTCTCCACCTGATAAAAGTGACATCAGAAGGTAAAATAAAAATTTAGTTTGAGTAAAGAATTACCGATTGCAAAGATACGGTGACTTAAAAATTAAGCTTGGGTTCTCTAAATTATGCTATAAATTCTAATTTGAACTTTTGCCTTTACTTTTTCTAAGATCATTTTAAGTTTAGAGCAAATGAAGTTTTCATGCAGAATTTAGCCTGTCTTGAAAAATAACACATTGGTATTTTGCATTCTTTACAAAGCCCTCATAAACAGTGCCTTTACTTTTCTGAAGACAGAGGCCTTCTTATATCTACAAAGCTCTCCTTATGTTCGTGGAATGGGGTGGGTAGACAGATTATCTTATTAAACTTTATTTCTGCACAAAAATCAAGAAAAGTCAGTAGTATTTCAAGTGAAAATGAAGTGAACATAATGTAAAATAATTTTTACCAAACAATCTTAATTTGAGGTAAAAATGCAACTAATTTCAGGTTTCAGCCAGCTGAGTGGGTTTTCCATTGTGTGTAGCTATAAGCATCCTACTAACACACATTCCTAGAAATGCCTCCTTATGGCTAATCATCTTTGTATCTCTTTTATGTAACCAAAAGACATTCTTTTTGTTCACTCACCAAAAAAGAAAAATACCCAGTCATTACACACCATATTGTGCTGTAAATTAGTTGCCACTTAGCTACCTACCCTTTATCTGGGTTCTAAAATATTACTTGTTAAAACCTTCTTCACAGGCGTTTGTTCCTAATTAGTTATTCTGTAATTCTCTTATGAACCATTCCTATATTCTTCCATATCAATCAACTATATAATCTTAGATTCTAAGTACAAGTCTGACTTGTGTTGGATCTAGCAGGAGAACCAACAAAACATTTCAGGATTAAATAAATTTACACTGAGCATTTTATCAGGAACAATGAGTGGACCCAAAATAAATTTAACTTGTGGTGCCTCATGGTTACAGTAACTCTGAATCAGGGTGCTACATTTCTCTAGCTAACATTGAAGTCTTTTTTTTTTCTTACATGTTATCTTTTAAGATGTTATCATAAAATGTCTATTATTTTTTAAAGCAAACACAATGTAACTCTGGCATTCAAATGAATGGCATCTCTTTCAAAGTAATGGCCTTGGGAACCTGTAGGGTGATTCTTACAATGTTGCCACTGCTTGAAAGTTTTAAAAATTCTTTTCAAAAATTCTGGCCTAGCAAAGGACCAGGCTCCCCCAGAGCTTCAAAAACAGCTGAAAGACAGGATGCCTATCTTCGGGAGATTAAGGCTATGAATACATCCTGGGCACATTCTAAAAAAATTTCTCCTTCAAAGATAGATTCAATATTTAGTAAAAGCTAAAATTTATTCAGAGCCAAGAATGATGAAGACATCCACACAGTCAAGCTTATCAAAAACATATGTAACAAAGGAAAGCAGTAAGATGGATCATATTTGCTGAGCTAATTCTAAAAAGAGTTCCAAGAGAATTACCAGGAGACCTCCCAGCACAGCCTCATGTATTGTGTAAGTGTGTGTGTTAGGGGCTGAGAGGAATAAAGGTCCTTGAGTTGAATGTTGAATAGCCAGATTTAGGTTTGTAATTACTTTGTAATCATATCTCATATGGTAAATTAATTTCATCTTGTTAGTGAAATTGATTTTTTTCACTTATTTAGATCATCCATAAAACCATTCATTCACTCATTGAACAAGTGTTTATTGAGCACCTACCTGCCATCAGACACTACGGATATAAAGATGCAAAGATAAAAGAAATTCACAGTCAAACTGAGATGAGACAGACAGGACTGCAAACAATTATGACGGATATAATAAGCACTAAAATAAAGGTGTACAAAATCACCACGGGAACAGAGGAGAGGAAATTAACTTTGCCTAGGGGTCATTATAGAAGGCCTCACAAAAAAGGTGATGATTTAAAGGACAAGCTCAAATTTGCTATGCAGATATGATAGGGGCTGTGAAGACGGGCACTCCAGTCAGGATATAGCATATGTAGAGGCCTGGATGGGAGAAAAAATGGAACACATTCATTTCTAGTTTCAAGATGGCAGCTAAGCCCATACTGCGATCTCCCTCCCTGCCAAAGCACAGAGATGATGAAGTAACAGGGGGGTAGGGAGGGAGGGAGGAAATATTGAGGGAGGGAGGAAAGAATGGAGGCAGGAGAGAGGGAGAAAGGACTGAATATACAGCAACACTCAAAAACTAGTGGAGAGACCCCAACAGCCCAGAAGCTAGGAGAGTCTGAAAGAATGATGGCAGATAGCACAGGACCAGAGAGGAATCCTGACGCTCAGAGCACAGGTGTGCCCCGCAGCAATAGCAGGAGTGCTTGCTGCCCACCAACAGGGGAGCAAGAAGTCGGAGAAGGCCAAGGCACTGACTGGAGAGTAGCTGGAGTACCCAGTAGAAGCAGCCAGGCCTGTTGATCCTCTGTGTAGTCCCAATTCCACCCCATCCCCAGACAGCAGTTGGGCAGAGGAAGAGGAAGGCATCAATCCAAAAGGGAAAGGAAACTGCAAAAGTAGGCAAATGAAAAATTACCCAATGTTTGAGAAGCATCCACACCATGAAATAAACTCTTATCAAACAGAAAGACTTAGAATGACCACTCAAAACCAGACTTAACAAACCAATCAAAACAGAATTATTATGTATAATTAATTATCCTGAGAGGCCTTTTTTTTTTAAGTATTTCCATCCTCAAGACAGAAACAAGAAATTATGAAAAGAACCAATCAGAGATGAGATCTTGGATATGAAAATCTGTTCAAAAAAAAAAATTAATAAAGCAGAATAGAACAGACCCAGAAGAACTAATGTGTGAATTGGAAAAAAAGGCTAAGGAATTCTCCCATAATCCAACACGAAGAAATAAAGGGAGAAGAAAGAAAAGAATCAGAGGAGAGACCCAGAAGTTTCAACATTAGTCTAGTAAGAGTCCCAAAAGGAGAGAATAAAGAAAAAGGAGGGATGGTGATGTCTGAAGAAGTTAGAAAGTTGAGACTTTCCTAGACCTAAATTAAGACATTAAGTTCTTTAAGCAGTTCAGTGTGATGCTATAAGAGATCATGCCCTACAAGGTTATAGAAGTAGTCAGAGGCTAGATCATGAAGCATCTTGTATTTCAGGTAAGGATTTTATAGTAGAAAGTTACTGAAGTGACATACAAATACTGGACTAGAATAAGAGTATCAGTGGGAACCCACAATTTAAAAAAATATATAATCCCTGGCTCTATTCAATGAAAGGGCCTAGAAGCAATGACACCTAAAGTAATGGGCACCTAAGAGCCCAGATTTTGGTTTTAAATATCATTACCCACTAAAAGGAATCAAAGCTCCCTGAAGACATGGCTGATTCCAGGGCTGGGATGGGGAAAGTCTAAGATGAGCCTGGAATGTCTTATGCTGGAAAGTAAGGAAGGGCTTAAAAACTGATTGGAGCTAGCTTGAAAAGGCTCCCTCTAGGCAAATTTGGGGCAATGCGAGTATCAGAAAGAATAACTGGAAGAACAGATTATAAAATAAAATGTGAATCCATGAATCCTAATGATTCTAAAAGAAACAATGCAGCACCAGAGAGAAGGGAAAGCTCCATTTGCAGAAGAATACCGACTAAGAAGTATAGAAGGAATGACATAAAATCACTATTTTGCAAGCACATTTATCATAAATGAAGGAATTATGCAAAATAATGGGCCCCGGTTCTTTAAAAATGCCAATGTCATGAAAGACTCCAAAAAAACACTGGGGAACTGTTCTGGATTAAAAGAGGCTAGAAAAATATGACAACTGAATACAATGTGTAATTCTTAACTGCATCCTGAATTGGTAAAAAACAAAACAAAGCAAAACAAAACAAAAAATAGCTATAAAACGCATTACTGGAACAACTGGGAAAATGTAGATATGGATTATATTTTAAATGATTTTAACAGTATAACAGATAACAGTATGTTAAATTTCTTGAGTGATGGTTATATTATGATTAATAGGAGACTGTTCTTGTTTTAGATGATGCCTGAAGTAATTAGGAGTGAAAACAAATCCCATAATGTTTATAATTTATTCTCAAATGGTTCAGATAAAAAAAAAGCATATGTGGGGTGTGTGTGTGTGTGTGTTTATAACTTCTGGGGTTCAATTCTTGTCAATTGTCTTAGGTTTGAAATTTTTCAAAATGAAAGTTAGGGGAAAGGAAGAAAGTTCTGGAAGAATTCAAAGCATTGAGTGTCATGATCTGACTTGTATTCTAGAATGATTATTCTGAGAGAATTTATTTCAGAAAGGCAAGCCAGGAATAGGACACCGGAGGCCAATTTACCTTGAAGCTGAAGATGCCTAAGCTTCAAGCCCTTTTCTTGTGGGTCTTTCTCAAGTCCCAGGGAGAACCTGAGCAATATATTTTTTCACGTGGTCATGTGCTTTTGTAAAATTTGCAAAATAAGATATTTAGTCAAGACCATTATCTCTTTTTACTCCAACTTGCTTCACCTTGTATCAGGCAGCTCTGGAATAATCATGGGCATTTTCGGACTACTGCTAA